CGACTGGCATCTTCAGGAGTTTTCGGCACTGCAGAGGTGTGTGAGAGAGGGGTTTTTTTTTCTCCAGAGTGGGTGAAGGGAAGTGAAGGATAACATTGATTTCAAAGAAGGAAGATATTTTACTGTATCTGCAGCTCCTTTATGAAACAATTTGCACTTTTTTTAAAAACTGCTTTTTAACACTAATACTTTAACCCTTTCCAAATATGCATGGAACAAGGTTTGTCCAGCACACTTACCTGGTGTGGATGACTTACACTCTGTTGAACAGATTTGATATTGTATCATGTTGAACTGTGGGTGAAGGGTGTGCGTTGATCAGTGGATCCCACCGTTGAATAGTGGATAAAATTTCACCGAAACAAGACATAATCCCTCGTAGAGCTTTTGAAAAGATAACATAAAGATTGTCTTTGGATGGGAAGACGAAGGTGTTAGTGGCTTTGATTGTTGACACTTCTGATATTTTCTAGAATAAGTAGCTGAAATACAATAACTGATGCTAACGTTTCTTATACAGGCAATCTATAAAGAGCTAGTGAGTTTGGTTTTACTGTTCAGTTAAACCAAAAACTGGTCTGAGGTAAGTGTCATTAGAAAAGTATAGATATAAACTAGCGATGGCAGGGGAAGGAGTGTTTGCTGTATTTTTATTTTTAAGGGTTAACTTTGCACCAGTGTGCCTTCCCTTCCTGTTGGGGGTGGTTGAGACCTCATAATTTCAAGTGACATCCTTCAATGTCACTAGTTTTTCCTCCCCCTTACAAACACTTGAGAAAAATAACAGGGTAGTAGGATTCAGCTTTTCTTTCTTCCCTGTTTAATTTGTGGTGAAATCTGCTCTGTTTTCCAGTAGATTTTGCACACAGAGTTTGTTCTGAATAAGTCAAAATACAATCCATCCAGTTGCAGTTTCACTGGAGGCAAAGAACATCTGCTCTTTGCATTCTTACTACCAAAAAAGCAATCCAGCTGTGTGTCCAGGAAAATGCAGATGTTCTCTTTCCTCCACCATTTCTGGAAGCTAAGGTGGATATTGCCCTGCTCGACCAGAGGATTTGTTCAGGAAGGCATTTAGATTTGGTGACAGGGCCTTTTCGTGGTACTGTTGAACTAAAATGAAGTGTGATTCTAGGCAAACTGGCTTGTAATGCCCATCAGTCTTCATATGTGAACAGGATCCAAACAGTGTTTAACCTGACAGAACAAACAGCCCTTGCCTCTGGTTTAGGTCCCTGTCCGCGTGACGCTGTCGAAAAAACTGCGTCGCTCTAACACGGTTGAAACAGTTCAGCAGAAATGAAAACACGGTTTAGGTGTACGTAGGTGCATGGGTAGGGCTGGGCTTTGCCTCTGTGCCCTACAACGTATCGCGGTCTATAGGTGCACTTGGGCGTTCATTTGCTGCAGATTCAGAGCAATAAAACGTATCTCCCCTGAACTGTACCTGGCCAGCCGCCCTTGGCTTTATTTATAAACTGCGGTTTTGGTTGGGTAGGAAAGGTGAGAGTGTCACTGTGCAACATCCACTGCCTTCCAAAAACCACGATTCAATTGAAAAGGGTGCTCAAAATTTTGTTATACACATTTCCTTTGTGTAAATAAATGTTTACAATTTTATATTAAAGATTTGAATAAGAGTTAGATCTTCTGACTGTATATTTTTTACTTTTTATAGATTTTAAAACTATAATTCTTTATATATGTGTTTGGGGGGGTATTATGGTAAGTTTTATGCTTGTAAATGGAGAACAGTTGAATTTGATGCTAACCTCTATGAATTTTTGTCATTGAAATGTATAAAGAGTCCATTAATCCCCTTATTCTTTTACTACAATTACTGGTGCACACCAAAAAGAAATCCTTCACTTCTGTTTTATCATTACAAAATAAATATTTTGCTAGTGTATTAAACATACCTGGTGTGACTTTATACATTTGTGCAAGGTGAGCAGAGGTCGGTGCTGCTGTTCCTAGTGAGGTGTTGCCCTTAGTCCCAACACACAATTTGGGGGCAGCCTCTTACTAAGGCTCAGGTTCTTCCATTGTGTTCTTACAGTTTCAGAAAGTTCATTTACCCAGGCCAGAGCTGGATAAAGAGGCCTTAGAAACTTTACTTTGAAAACAAGGCTTTATGCTACATGCACTACTTCTGGATATTTAATTTTTAATGCAGTTGTAGACCTGAAGCTGGGAAATATGACTGTAGAGGTGGTTGTTACTAGTGAAAAAAATGTTAATAACTACTGAGACCTCACATGTATGAAATTGTAGAGTTCCAAAAATATGCTCAGATTCCCTCAAAATAACAGGCCTTATTGGTTCAAACTAGTTTCCTTGAGACTTATAAAAAGGCAAAGATTATGTTTGTAGGCAGATGGCACAGAAAAAAAAAAACAACATTAAAAAAACCCCACAACCCGACAGAGAAATGAGGAATGTGTGCTGCAAGCATGAGTTAATGTTTCTAAACAAGGACCAAAACATCGGCAGCAAGTTGTGTGAAGGTTTTGATTTCTAGCTGGTGAGGTCCCCAAGCCGCTGGGCAGAGCTTGGCGGGTTGACGAGGCTCTGGAAAATAATGGCGAAACAGGTCTCGGGGACCTTGCGGGGTTGGTGAGGCTCTCCGGACGGACACTGCCCTGGGTGTTGGGTCGCAGAGGAGTGAAGCACGGATCTGCGGCCGCATCGGTGGCCGGAGGAGCCCGGCTTTCCTGGGACGGGCCTGGATGTTACTGTGTTCTTGTTAACAAGTTATTACTTGATGAATTACCCTGAATTGAGCATTTCAAAGTAGTTCTCTTGGTGAATCATACCGCTCGCAGCAGACCCAAGAATTCAGCGAGGCAGTATTTCCTGTTTGTCGAGCGTGCCCTCTAACTGGTGAAATCTAGTCTTAAGTTCTAAACTCGCATCTTGAATCCCTCCGACCGCAGGGGTAGCAGTAGTGAGAAAGAAGAATTTACAAAGCGTGACACATGCGTTTCTTGTATTCATTTTATGTCTCACTGCCATTTCAAGCATCCCCCCTATGTGATAAGAATTTTAATTGTCTTCAAGTGTTGAAAAATTCTCCAAGCACTGGAGTTGGTTTATTATTCTGTAGCTCTTGTGTTTAAAGCCCCAACTCAAAGCCTTCAGATTTCCTCACAAAGCGTATCCTGACTTACCTATTTTGGGTGTGTTTCCACTCTGCAAGTCTCAGGTTGTGTTTGGGGGGAGACCTGGAACTTCTGAAGCTTCTGAAGAACCAAATGTCATAGTAAGTGACAAAACCGGGATGAGCTGCTTCTAGCCTGTTGGGGAGCTTTGAAGTTATTAGTTCATTAATTTTTGCTTTATTATCCCATTAAAAGTGCTCCATTGCATTTAATGATGAGTAAAACAAAACTGGCAAACTGCCCCTCATTGAAGTGCTGTGCACATGCATGTTTTCAAAAGGATTTTAAAGGAGTCACCGGTTGGTAGCTCATGACCCCCTTCTGCTCAGAAACAGACTTTTTTTTTTTTTTTTTTTTGCTTCTGAAGGCTAATGTAAATTTGTAATGGAAGTGTTTTCTAAACCCTGAATTGTTTGCTGAAATCACGTAAGCAGAAGTAAAGTCCTGGTGACATTTTCCCTCTGACTTCTATATTAGACGCCCTAGATGAAACCTTAGGTCACCAGTGGATTCTTTTAATTGTTTTATTTCTCTTTCAGTCTGGGTCTGCCTGCAGAGTATAAAATCACATCATATCCGTTGTTAAATAGATGTGGTTTTGTTTTTTTTAATGCACAGCTGTATATTTGAATTAACTTCAATTTTCAACTTGATAAGCTGTCACAATAGGGTTTTGAGGTGATGAATACACAAATGAAAAAAAAACTAAAAAACCCAAACTTGCTGCATCCTGCTTGGGAGAAGCTGTAGGTCCGGTCACTTCTTGGTATCGTGCACAATTTCTGCACTGAGGGTTTGTGTGTGTGACTGTGCAGAGAGATGTGATGGCTCAACTGCATCCTGTGCCCGCCCTTCATCCAACTGGAGGGAAAACCGTAGTTGATAGTGAATGATACCTTTAGGTTCTCCTTTTCAGTTTTAAAAAACTTTAAAGTCAGAATAGTTGTATCCCTAGAAAGTTGCTCCAAAACACAGCATAGTTTTCTGAATGATGCATATTTTGCTGTTGTGACGTGGAGAGGAAAGTTATTTAGGACTAAAATATTGCTGGTTTTCAAAGTTTACGGGTTACAATTATAACTGTGATGTCAGTGTAACGTTCCTGAGGATCCGTGTGTCTCTACACCCTCTGCTGTCTTCCTTCTGGAACTGAGAACTTTTATTTTGTGTTAGCCAGGAAAAGGTTTGTACTACAGAGAATTCTAAAAAACGTCAGAGAACTACAAAAGTGACTGAGCACTAGAAAAGAACTGTATTTTTATTTGGTGAACTTGAAGTATTAATTGGATAAAATACTTGAATGCTCCTTTAATAATTCAGAATCCAGGAACAATTCTAGCTGAAGTCAAAATCTTTCATTCACATGGTCAACTCCACTACATGGAGTAAGAGCAGAAGGTCAAGTCATTAATTTGTAGGTGCTTGTTAATAACTTGGACGACCTCACACATAATTCAGATGCTCTAGAGCTAATCAAAGCTAGTAATGAAAGGGCTGGAAAAAAGCCCATCACCTTTCAATGGCCCAGAATTCAGTCACGGTACAAAACCTGTAAATATGATTGCAGGAGTTCCACAGCTGGCACACGTAAAAACTTCTTCCGTCACATAGTTCAGGAAAATGCCGTTGCGTAGCCCAGCAAAGGGCACTTGTCTGGACTAGAGGCATTCCAGTGGCTGCCTGCTCTGGAAAATCGTGGGGTGTGGAGAGGGTTAAGGCGTGGGGAGGAAACACGTGTTGCTGCGGAGCAGTGAGGAGGCTGCAGGAGACCATCGGGTGGGAGAGGTTGGGGAGCAGCTGAGCTCATCGCTCCTGGCTCAGGGCTTGGGCCACAGCAGCATGAGGGATCAGATAGACCTGCTGGCCACTGTCACGGTTTTGGGAGTGCTGGAGCAAGGTAAGTGTTTGTTATATAATGCTAGGTAGGATTAAGGTGATTATATTGAACTTTGTGGAACTTAGTTCTTGTATTTTGCTTGGAGTCTCCATGTCCTTTCCTCATGTAAAATGATATTTGGCTGTTCATGGTAGAAATGTCATGCCTGAGGACTGAAATGATTCACAAACCTCAAAGCCAACACTCTAGAACAAAATGATATTTAAGCTTTACTCTGAAACCTGAAAAAACTTTGACAGCAGAATGTTTTTAAAACATTTTCTGAGATTGAATTTTAGCAGGTGATTTGTAACTTAGAGTGGCTGGAGATAGCCAAAGCAAAGGCAGGTTAATAAATTCGCTAATGAACAGGTCAGTAAAAAAAAATACATTGTACGTGTATAGAAAAAGAGCATCATGATTTCTTATCTGTGATCAATCTTGTTATGTGGCCACGTAGCTCCACCGCACGGAGCTGATGACGATATGAGTTGCCAGCACACAGTAATTTGGAAACTAATGCAAGCCCTTCTGGTCAGAAATAGCCCCAAACGTCTTCAAAGAAACTCAGCAACTTCTCATAGTTTAAATAGATGTGTTTGGTTTAGCAAATTTGCAGAGAAGCAGTAGAATTGCCAGGCTCTACCTCTTGTGTGTAATTGTGAGTCCCTTGGACAAAGGACTCTCCCCCTTGTGCTTCAGAAGGGTCATAGAAAGGGACACCCCCTGCCTGGAATGGGGACAGAGCCCTGTTTTATTAAAATCTTCACATTTCTATGCGAGAAGTTTGGTTTGTGGGTTTTTTTGGGTTTGGGTTTGTTTTTTTCTTTATTACTGCTGAATTAATTCACCATAGGGCTGTCACATTTCTTCACTCACAAATGAGTGTGAACCTCTGAGCACCCTGATGTATTTTAACCATCAGAGGATAAAATGTGTATAAGCACTTTAAAACACAAATACGCCCCTTGAAGTATAGAGTTCAAGGTTTCTGAATTATCAGTAATTTACAGAGAAATATCTGCAACCACAAATAGAAGATATGTTGGGGGTTTTTTGTTATTAAACCAAGTGGGGATGGAGGGAGCATTTAGTGTGCAAAGAGAAGACATAAAGAAAACTTGAAATTGAGTTACGGAAATGTTCCTATGCCCTTTCCGTTGGGAAACCCTCAGTAGCCAATCCCTAGATAGCAGTTTTGTCTCGAATACGTTTGTTTTACAAGAACTTCAAGTGATTTTGACAGGTTGCTGCCTTAGGCATTTTACTTTCGTGCTATGCAAACCATACATAAGTGTGAAGCCAGCAGATAAAGAGCAAGCCTTGGCACCCTCTTACCTTAGCTGGAGTCAAGTTCCCTCGTTTTATGGCCTCTGCATGGAAAGCCAAGGTGCAATTACAAAATAGACATATTTTCTTTCTCTCCATTTGTATGAAATGTGTGCTACCATCACCTTGATTCAGAGCTGTGCTTGATTCAGAGCTGTAGCTTTTTTTTTTTTTTGCATCTTTTGAAGGACTTTCTATGTGTGAATTACAGTTCTGAGATTCATTCTGAGAGGGCAGAGCACTGAAAGACTGATGTGTACCGTATGTACAAATAGTTCTCCATCACATTCTGATGAAAATGACATCATTTAATGGCTTAGTACATTGTTGGTTGAATTTTTTTTTCTTAATTTTCTGGCAGCCCATGGTTTCTGCATGCTTTCAAGTACGCTTTCCCCTTTTATATTACGCTCAGTTTAGCAAAACTCTGAGCTTAGTGCTCTGTAGGGATGTGCCCCTGCCCCATGTTGAACTTTGTACCAGGGAGCAGAACAATGCTACCACAGATTTGGGGAGGGTTTTCCTACCTTTTTTTAATTTTCATGGCTTTGAAGGAAACAAAGCGTATGTAATGTTGCTGTTTGTCAGTCCCCGCAGCGCTTGTTGGCCAGGTTCACTCCAATGTGACAGGTTTCAGCTGTAGTATGCTTTGACAAGTTTGTGGACATAATCAAATAGAGAATGATAGATCCACCGAGGAGCAAAGTACAGGGAGAGCTCAGCCCCTCTGAACTGGGAGGGAATCCACACGGGTGTTTGACCTCGAGCCATGAGTCACAAGAAGCAAGTGGGAAAGGTTCTGCAGAGTAGGTTCAACTCTTTTCCCTAACTGGCTTGTGCTGAGGTTTGTCCAGTGTGTTATTTTTCAATGCCTTATTCTGAGAAATGCTTTTGGAGGGTGGTTCTGCATCCTTAATGCTTCGTCCAGACCCCAGGTTCAGAGGACAGCTGGCCGTCCTCCAGGAGGCTCTCGCTTCTCGTGGGTGGTTGGTTCAGATCCGTATCCATCCAAAAGCGCGAGGAACCTACTGAAGGACTTGCCTGAAGATCTGCCCCTGTACACAAGCAAGATGTTAAGTATCAAGTTGATGGAACCTGATTATTCTTGCCGTGCCCGTCACCCCAAGAGCTCTGCGTTGGGAGGGATGCAGATGGCACAGAGCTGGATGAAGACTGTTGCCCAGCATGGTCGGGCTTTTGCGAGAAGCCAGAGCCGAGCGTGATGCAGTAACTTCAGCCCAGTCCATTTCGTCAGAGGTGGCTGGATGAGACCCTGAGGGCGTTAAAATAGGAAAGAGGTGGTTGCGTGATGTGACCAGGAGGTAACAGGATGAGGTTTTTTCCCCAGCCGAGTTGCTGGTCGTGCGTTCCTGCAGAGCGAACTGTCTGCTCTTGCAGAGGGGCTGCTCCGTTGCCTCCTGCCAGATCTCGGGGACAGCAGGATTTCCTCAACCATAACCAAGGTGCTACACACAAATCGGGGGAGGGGGGTTGGGAGGTGTGTACTTGTTTCTCCCCACCCTTCCCTCCCAGCACCTCTTGTTTGGAGCTGGGTGACTGCACATGCTGTGGAAGGCACTAAAACATGCAAATGTTTTCTTGAATGAATGTGTCTATTTAAACGAGTAATACGTTGTGTAATACACAGGTCACACAGCACTGGATTATTTAAATTTCTAATACCCGTTTCTTCTACATATGTTCTAACGCTTTTCTGCAGGCATGCATGGATCTGTCTTGTCTTTAATCTTGCAACATCTGTCCCTACTTTCCTTTCTCTCTCCTGCTGCTCTGCTTTCATCTTCTTTGTTAGACAGACCACAAGGCAGTCCCTGCAGCCTGGCTCCTTGTCTCTCTGTTCAGTGCTCTGCAAATGTTGCTACGGTAGGATCTTGCTAATCCAGGTGACTCACTTAGCAGCGTGCTGCCACAGCCACCAAAGTAATTGTTTTTATAATGTATTTTTCTCCTATATGAAAATTCTCATTTTCAGTAAAGGCACCAATGTTGCGGTGCACCTGCATGTAAATGCTTGAAACACCATCAGTCACCCGTGGCAGTAAGAACTTTTGTCACGTAGAGAAACAGTTCAAATCTTCACGTCAATAAGTTTTCATCGTTTTGAATTGACTTTCCACACCCCTTACAAACGTACAAAGCAGCAGTGTAGCAGACATTGAGTTAGTACCTCAGCCCAAAGTGGGCACAGGCTGAGAGCACTCACGGGCAGCGTGTCTGCTTCTCGAGCTGCCCAAGCCTTGGGGCTACCCTGCAGGAATGAAGTGGAAGAAATAATCAACCCCTTCCCCTTTTCCATTCTGTTGCCATGATTCCAAGCATCCCTCATCGACTTAATGACATCCCAGTGCTTCACAAGTTTGGATGCCCCTCTGTGACACGGGGCCACCCTTGTATAGAAGCTCTGCACCCACTCGATGTGGCAGAAAGTGCTGCGTGTCATGCCCAGCAGGCTGGCTGAGGGCCAATGCTCTAAGCACAGAGCGCGAGATTAAAACAGAATAATAATTCTGTGATTGGGTGTGGACGCGGTGATGTTTTAGCCTGTGTTGCCAGTCTTCTCACAGGACCAGGGTGTGTTTGAGCTGCTGGGGAGCAGCACCCAGGGCTCCACTTCTGCGCACGGGGGGTGCAGCTATGCAAAGCACGTTGGCTCTGTGGCACAGGCACTCTGCCACCATAACCAAATCTAAATTTAAAGTACGAGCGTGAAGTAAACAGCGTATTTATTCAGGTTGTGTGTGACAGCCCTGGACTATGAACTTAGGCAGTGTGAGCTCTTTTCCTCCAACCACTTGTTTGATTCCAAGCTAGATAAAGCTCAACTAAATAAAATGCTCCTTTGTTCCTGTGTCGTTCTTTTTTTAGCCTATTTTGCGATGCAGGTGATCTACGCCCGGCGGAAGTACAAGATCTCCCCTCCCGAGACAACAGGTCACCCTGAGTTTGAGAGAATCTTCAGAGCTCAGTAAGATTTTGACATTTTTTGTGGTGACTCCATCTAGATATGACTTGAGTCAAGTGTCATCATCAGGAAAGACTGAAGTCACCGTCAAATCACCTTTTCACTTATTATTATTGATACTAGGTTTTTATTGTTTTAGTGTTTTGTGTGCAGGGGTCTGAGTTTTGATTTGAAGCACTTTGCTCTGGTTGGAGTGTTTCTGTCTGCCCATGACAATCCTCCGTCTGGCATTGTGAGAGGCAACCAAATCACAAATCAGTGGCTGTATGGAAGAGGTGCAGAGCATTAATGCATTACAATCATTAAGTTTAATAATAATGCTGGCTCCAAACTGAGAGAGCAGCTGAAGCTACATTAATAACATAATATTTGATTATAAGTTTTTGCCGTTTAATTGAAGCAAAGGGCCTTACTTGCAGAACCAGCTATGAGGATATTTTAATTTTTCTTCCTTTTTTAAAGTCGTTGTACTGTGAAAGTGGGCACTTACAGGTCCATGCCGAGGGCTGTTTTTTTGTTCAGTTCCTATGGGGAGAGCAATGCTGGAGCTAAACTGGTAATGTCCACAGGTCCCTTTGGCTTCCAGCAAGCACCACATTCTGTCTTTGATCTCAATTGTTCTGTTTCGTAAGCGACTGAAAGGGATTGGCCAGAGCTGGTTTGAAGGGTAGTTCGAATACGACACTAATCTTGAACAAAGCAGCTGCGTTTCCTTGCCAGCATGCAGGAAACATTTGTGGAGTGACAAAAACACCCACTTTGGTCTTTTTGTGGTGTAGTGAAAGGCCTGCCTGCACGGGAGGCTCCAGCCTTCGCTAGCTGCGTAGCTGCCGATGCGGCTTTTAATAAAACACTGGGCAGTGCATTAACGGAGTCGTGCTGTGGGCTGCAGAGCGCCGGGAAGCCCTTCACTATATTCTGCGGAGAAATCAGCAAACTGGGGTTTGAGAAGGTATTTTTTTCCTTGTGGGTTTTTTTTTCCTTCCTCCTTCATTGTTTTCCCTGTGGGAAAAAAAAAAAAAAAGAAAGAGATACAAAAGGGTAATTCGTTTTGCTCTATTTAAAAAAAAAAAGGGCGAGGGGAAAGGTATTGATTTATTACTCACTCATGGAAAGCTGGCAGCCTCCCCTCACTGAGGCTCAAACTGCATTTGCAGTATAACTTTCTTCGTACTTTTTCCAGCTCCCAATCTGGCTGTGTTCCTTGAAGTTTGGTAAGTTTTTGGCCAAATTTAAGATTTAATTGCCTAGGGAATGGTAAAATGTAGCAGAAATTGAGAAACAAAGCCATTGCCTTTAATACCACAGCTCCTTGCAGAAAATCTGTATTTTTGTGACTAAAAGGATGGAAGGAAACCTGACTGCAGATCCCATCACTTTCTGCTGAATTCAATCTGGGAGAAGGCTCCTTCTTGGAGTGACATCTGAATTTGGGCTGTGCTCACCCAAGGGGAAGAGAAAGCTTCTTGAATAATGATAAGGAATCTCTACCTGTGCAATTTTGAAGCTGTAGCTGCACTAGGTGCTGTGCGCGGGGCTGAGGATGAGCCTGTTGAGGGTCCATCTAAGATTAATGTCCGTCACAGCCATGGCTGATCGTTGCAGAGTCCACGTGAATGTGGGTGAGGTGAATGATGTGTGTTGTTTGGGTGCTTTTCTTCTCTAAAATACAGATATTGAGTGTCCTTGGTTGCAGAAAAAGCCCTTCCTCCACAGCGCAGTAACGCCTCTTATCAGCCCTTTCAGTTTGCTCCGATGCACGTTTCCAGCTCGCTTCTCTGGCCTCTGTTAACGAGTCTCTTGACTTACGAGGATGCAGTTTTAACTCTCATCTCTGGTTCTCACTAGGGCCAATTGCTCAGAGTACTTTCCGATCTTCACCTCACTCCTCTGGGTTGCTGGAATCTTCTTCCATCAAGGTAAGGGGGCATGGGGGTAACTCCAACCCACACCACATGCACAAACCAAACCCCACAGTTTAAATCCTATTGCGACCCACACACATCCTCTCTGTACCCATGAGGCTGTTACTGGGGGAAACCCAAATTCCCCTCTGGGTGGATAGACTGAGGAGCACCTCAACTCCATTGTGCATGAGCAGGTCTCCTGCCCAGAGGAGAGGTTTGGTGGCATCACTGCCCCTCTCTCCTTCACCAGAGCCTGGCCATTGCCCCACCCTGCTTCTCTTGTTCGATAAGGTCAGGCTGGCACGTGGTGTTAGGGCGGCAGCAAGCACAAGCAGAGCTGCAACACAATACCCAGATCGCTGCGTCAGACAGAGAAACCATGACCCAAACAATTAGTCATCCCCCGTCCATCCCGTATCAGGTGGGTTTAGAGGATTTGGCTGCTGCCACAGGGAAGATGTGAGGAAGGGCCATAGAATCATAGAATGGCCTAGACTGGAATGGACCTTAGAGATCATCTAGTCCAACCTCCCTGTTTTGGGCAGGGACGCCACCTCTCGACTAGACCAGGCAACACATGGGGACCGAGCGGGAAGGGTGTTGCAAACCCAAGTCCCAGTGCAACTTTAGGGGAGGCAGCGAAGTTCATCCGTCACAGAAGGGGAAGGAAGAAAACTCATTTTAACTCCCACAGCTTTTTAAAGCCGAGTTCCTCTGCGTTTGGTTCTCGGGACCGTGCCCTGTCTGCAGGGGGAAGCAGGGACATGGGTGACTAAGCCAGGCTGCAGCTCCAGGGCTCCCCGGCCCCATCAGGACTCTGTTCCCTCTCCCCT